GGAAGAGGGGACTGACACTTCCCTGCAGTCCCCAAGGAACTCTGGTTCCAAACACATCTCAGTGTTCGTGGAAAACAGGCTAGAGCCACCCCCACTGGCACACCCCATCTTAACCCAGAGAAACAGTCTCTTTTTCTGTTTTACACATTAAGATTCTGAATAAAGCTTGTTGGGGTATTTTTGGTTTTACCATTTGGATCTTTTCTTTGTTTTTGTTTGTTTGTTTGCTTTTGCCATAGGACATGTGTGCTCACAGGAGAGAGGGAAAATGAGAAATCACGCTCCACCCCCCAGGGGGATGGTGACGCTGCAATCCCTTCTCCTTCATTCTCCTCTAGGGATTCTGGGCACGCGTGCACACGTGCCCGGTGTGATCTTCAAGACGCCAGGTCCAAGACTCGAACACAGTCACTCATGTGGGAATCCAGCACCTTAATCACCATGCCACCTGCGGGCTCCAATTTAGACCTTTTTTTTTTTCTTTTTCTGGAGAGGTTTTTGCTATAGGGCGCATGGACTCACCAGAAAGACAGAGAGAGATAGAGAGACAGAATGTAAGAAATCACCCCCCAGGGGAGAGACAGAGAGGCAGAATGCAAGAAATCACCCCCAGGGGGGATGGCCATGCCACAATCCCTTCTCCTCCATTCTCCTCTCGGGATCTTGGGCACGCACGCACACACGCCCGGCATGAGTTTAAGCCTCCAGGTCCAGGACTCAAACCACGGTTGACTACATGGGAGTCCAGCGACATAACCATTATGCTAACTGCTGGTCCCCCAGTTTGGACCATTTTTAAGTGTGTAATTCAGCGGCATTCACAGTGTTGTGCAACCATCACCACTATCCACTTCCAGGACTTTCTCATCTTCCCAGACAGATACCCTGTACCTATTAAACGATAATTGTCCCTCTCTCCAGCCCCTGGTAACTTCCTTTTTTTAGAAAAAAATTATTTTATTTAACTTTATTTATTTACTTATTTTAATTTGACCAGGCAGGGACAGAGGATGAGAGAGAGAAAAAGTGAAAAAGCAAGCCACCAGGTCCGGGACTTGAACCGTGGTAAGCCTTGTGGGAGTCGAGCACCCTTAACCACTACACCACCTGCCGGTCCTCCTGGTAACTTCTATTCCACTTTCTGCTTCTATGAATTTGCCTATTCTAGGTACCTCATATAAGTTCTGTGCTGAAAACTAAAGTTTGTATACCCCATCCCCTAAAAAAAATTCATGCACGGGACCAGCAGTTAGCGTAATGGCTATGTCACTGGACTCCCACATAGTTGACCGCAGTTCGCGTCCCAGACCCGGTGGCTTAAGACTCATGCCTGGCGCGTGTGCGTGCATGCCCAAGATCCCAAGAGGAGAATGGAGGAGAAGGGACTGCGGCATGACCATCCCCACTGGGGGGTGATGATTTCTTGCTTTCTGTCTCTCTGTCTCTCTCTGTCTGGCGAGCGCACGCCCTATAGCAAAAAAACTCTCAAAAAAAAAGAAAAATTCATGCTGAAATCCTAATGTGCAATGTCATGATACTAGGAAGTGCTAGGTCATGAGAGTAGAGCCTTCAAAAATGGGGATTAGTGCTCTCATAAAAGAGACTCCAGAGAACTCCCTTGCCTCTTCTGGCTTGTGAAGATACAGCAAGAAGATGGTTGTTTAAGAACCGGAAAGCAGCCCACATCACATCTGCCAGGACCTTGATCTTGAACTTCTAGCCTCCAGAACTGTGAAAAATAAATGTCTACCGTGCAAGCCCCCAAGCCTATGCTATTTTGTTATAGCAGCCAGAACAGATTGAGACCAAGTGGAATGATACAGTATCTGTCCTTCTGTGTCTGGCTTTTTTCCCTTAGCATAATGTCTTCAAGATTCATCCACACTGCATCCGAATTTCATTCCATTCTGTGTGTCCACTGTATGCATTTACCACATTTTGCTTACCCATTTTTTGTTGAAGAATACTTGGGTTGCTTCCATTTTTGAGCTACTGTGAATAATGCTGCTATAAACATTGGTCCATTAAGTATCTTTTTGAGTCCCTACTTTCAATTCTTTGGGGTAAAAACCTAGGAGTGAAATTGCTGAATAAGATTTTTATTTACACACACACACACACACACACACACACTCCATTAAAGGGCCAGCCTGATAGCCAGTTAAGGAAGTCGGATCCCATATGGCTGTCTACAGTTTTGAGTCCCAGCTCCAGTGGATTAAAAAACATGTCAGACCTGTGTTTGCACATGCCCAAAATCCTAATAGGATGGAGAAAAAGATTGTGGCAATGACCACACCTATCTGCAGGGTATGTTTCCTCTCTCTCTCTTCTTCACTGAAGAATACACATGCACCCTGGCAATTAAAAACAAAAATTCCATTAATTAATTGGTGGTGGCACATGATAACACTATTGGACCCCATAGGAAAGACCCTAGGCTGGCATCCTGAGACCTCCTGAACACACCAGGCACGCTGTGCCTCAGATTTAACCAGTTGGGACTGGGAGTGGATCGTGGCATAAAGACCACATTGGAAGTGCCTGGTTCTATGTGTGTTTCTGTCTCTGCCTTTTATGAAAGAAAGAAAGAAATAAAAAAAAAAAAAAAAAAGAACAAGTGAAAAAGACTCATTAGTCCTGGTCTCCTATCACAGATAGGGAATCTGAGGGCCACAATTCCAGCACTGTGTACATTTACTCCCCTGAATTTTCCAGGAGGCTCCAGGCTGTGCCTCTGTCCTACTGCAGTGATAGTTTTACTATCTAGCGGTCTCTCCCTCCAAGACCCCTGAGACAAATGCTGGGCCTAGCCCTCTAACAGGGTGATGGACCTCAGAGAGCCAGCCCCACTCTCTGTCAGGGCCTTTAGACCAAGAGCACCCACTAGCCAGATGGGTATATGGGACAGCGATCTCTATTCAAGGAATCCAGACTTTCTGAGGTTGAAGGGCGACTAAGCCACATAGAACATCAGCAAAAGAAGATCAGGGTGCATTATCCAACCCCAGACTGAGGCCAACCCTGAGCAAGGCCAGACTACTTCTCAGAGGAGGTGCAGGGCAGTCTCCAGAGTGATTGCCTCGCTGTTCAGAATGGACTCAGGGAAAATCGAGAGCAGGGATGTGGTCACTCCTGAAGCCAGGGGAACCAACATGCCGCATTAGCAAAGAAAGAGAGGCAGAGGCAGCCATTACTGCACCTGGACAGTCCCGGTGGCTGCAGCCACCAGTCAAACTGCAAACTGAGCCAGGACAAACACAGGTAAACCACCACGTCCAGTATGCACGGCTACTGGTCTCCTTCCTGCCACCTCCCATCGCCTGCTCATCTGATAGCAACACATTTGCGTGGATAACCCATCCCTCCTATTCCATTAGCTGAGCAACTCTATTCCTGAACCTGGAGTGGGCACAAGACCCAGACTTGGTTAATCAGTATATCCCAGCTCCCCGGCCTAAGTTCAGGAATGGGTATGTGAGTCACCATCTCTGGGACTCCCATGGAGGTGCGTTCTCCCTCTGTCTGTTTCTCCCTGATGTCTCCTGGCAATTTTTAAAATTCCATTAATAAATAGGTGGTAGCACAGTGATAGCACTATTGGACCCTATGGAAAGATCCTAGGTTGGCATCCGAAGACCTCCCTGAGCATTGGGAAATTACTGGGAGACAGATTGGATCTCCCCGTCAGTGCTGCTGAACTGGCAGAATGTAAGCCTGGAGCAGCCATGGTCCATCTCTGTGCAATATCCAACTGGAGAGGAAGCCAACACAAAAGAAAGCAACGCCTAGAGACAGAGAGAGAGGACCAGTGTCCAAGAACACCGTCTGAGTCTTAGATCTACCCATACCTGAACCCGTATCCTTTGAACTTACGAGTTATCTAAACTGAAAAGCCTTCTTTTTAAAGTTAATTTGAGGACCAGCAGTTGGTGCAATGGCTATGTCGCTGGACTCCCATGTAGTCTACCATGGCTTAAACTCATGCCGGGTAGGTGTGCATGAGTGCTTAAAATTCTGAGAGGAGAATGGAGGAGAAGGGATTGCAGCATGGCCAACCCCCATGGAAGGTGATTTCTCGCTTTTTGTCTCTCTGCCTCTCTCTGTCTTTCTGGCGAGCACACGTATCCTATAGCAAAAACCTCTCAAAAAAAAAAGTTAATTTGAACTGGAATCTGTCACTTGCAACCAAATTCAGTGAAGTTACCTATCAAAAGATAGTCTTTTCAGGGATACCACCCACCACCCCAATACAAAGACCCTCTGCTCCCAAACTTTGGTTTAACAGAGCTACGATAAAACAAATGTTACAGAACTTAAGTTTCAAGTATCCTATTGACCGACTCTGGTTTTGTATGCTAACTAGTTTCAAACTGCCATGTAAGTTTAAGGCAGACAGGGAGCAGGGAAGGTTCTCATTGCCTAACCTGCCCCTGTCCCTGGCATTCTACACTAACAAGAGGATGGTCTCAGGCCACCTGGATAGCCTCATTTCCCACCATGAAATCCACACTGAGCCAGCCAGTGGCATGAAGTTCAAGTCCTGGGCCTGGCAGCTTGAAAACATTCTGGGTGCATGTGTGTACATGCCCAAGATCCCAAAAGGAGAATGGAGGAAAAGGAATTGTGGCATGGCCATCCCCTGGGAAATGCTCTCACTTCCTCTCTCTCTCTCTCTCTCTCTCTCTCTCTCTCTCTCTCTCGTGAGCACACTCACCCTATAACAAATTATTTTAATAATTTTTAGTTTAATTTTATTTATCTTTTTTTTTTATTTGTTACAGGGCATGTGCACTCACCAGAGACAGCGAGAGAGAAAGTGAGAAAGCTAGCTACCAGGTCCAGGACTCAAACCATGGTCAGCCATGTGGGAGTCCTGCATCCCAACCACCATGCTATGCCTGCTGGCCCCCCTATAGCAAATTTAAAGATAGAAAGAAAGAATAGAAATCCACGTCACAGCCAAAGAAGGACCCAAAGGTGTCCCCTGCCTTTCTTACCTGTGTTCCTTGGCTTACATTGTCTCAGTTAACTAGGATGTACTTCTCTACTCCATCTCTCCCTTCAAAAATCGTGTCCAGTCTTCACAGCCCACCTCAAATAGCACCAACTCCACACAGCCTTCCTCGGGAGGCCCCCCTTTCTTCGGACCTCTGGGGTGCCCTGTTCCCTTTTGCAGCACCTACGGATTCAAGTTACACAGCTGGTCTTTCCTCCTGGAGTGTAGGCTGCCTGGGGCATGGAGAGGGTCTTATCTTCCCCCAGACCCTGTAGTCCAGTGCATACCTGGCACTCCACAAATATTGACAGAAGTGAATGGAAACAGCACGATCGATTTACAGCCCGATTGCAAGCAGGACTGCTGCCTGCATTTGCATTTATGGAGGGGAAAGAGAGGGCAAGGCGACACTGCAGAGGGGGCTGGCAGGACTCTCCAAAGCGGGGGCAGGGGCGAGAGGAACTGAGACATGACTGAGACGTGGGACCCAGGTGTCTCCATTCCCATCACTTGCACCACAGTTTGTGCCCTGCCTCCACATGGCCGTGCCCTTGGGGGACCTTCTCAGCTACCGGTAACTGGCCTTGGTTGATGTCACACAGCCCTTCCTGGGACACTGCAGAGCCGGTTTTCAGACAGGCTGAAACCGAAGTTACCTCTTGATTTACACACTGTTTTAGCCTTTGCATCTCGGATGAACTATCTTATTAAAATAAATGTTCTATTAAAATACAGATGGCATGGGTAACCCAGGCTGCAGCCCAGACCTTCCCGTTCACATAGAGAAGCGAGAATTTTTATTCCAATTAGTAAGGACAGCAGCCAGGAAACCTTCCAGCTTATCTGAAGCTGAAAGGACAGACCCTTCCTCCACCACCACCACCACCCAGCCCAGAACGAGTATTCAAAAGAAGTCCAGCTGTGCCAGAGACCCTTCTGGTCCCTTCCTTCAAAAACATCGAGAATGTGCTGAGGTGCCATGGTTCTCAATCTCTGAAGTTTTTTCATAGATCTGGTCCCCTCTGAGCTGCACTACAGTCCCCTTCATAGGCCAGTGAAAGCGAAGCACGGAGAGGTGAAGGGTCACCATATAATTGGTGGTGGGAGAAAAGGCATAGAATTTCACATCAGACAGAGCTGAGTTTGAATCCCAGCTCTTCTGTACTAGCTGAGTGACCCTGGATATGACACTTCTTTTGCTAAATTTAAATATAAATAAATA